CTCCCGCTGCCTCGCGTACAGGTGTTTGTGGGAGGCAGTATCCTGCGAGGCGGACCTGTGACCGTGTGTAGAGACGAAGAGCTGAAGTGCCAGCCGGATCCCTTGGTGATCAAGGTGAGTTCCGTGGCCTCTTTGCCCTCTGTCATCCTTTGGGCTTTGGCTCTGCGCTGCTCATTCTCTGCCCAGGGTTTCTGGGGTAGGTCTCCTGTGCAGTCGCCCGCGTGTCTGCGGCGCCTGGGAGCTTGGCTGTGTTAGGAGGGGAGGCAGCCTCTCTGCTCGGCTCGGCTCCGCTCCCCCGCCCCCTGAAAGGAAGAAGGCAGTAACGTCACTGGTGTCTGTTGTGCCTCCAGTGCAAGAGAGTGTACGGCGGCCCGAGTAAAATGCAGCTCAGCCTGGACGGCAAGAGGCTGTACGTCACCAACTCCTTCTACAGCACATGGGACAAGCAGTTCTACCCGAACCTGGTCAAGTAAGAGAAGTTGGGGAAGAAAGGGGCCTCTCTTGCGTGGCCTCTCTACTAGAAACGGGCAAGGCGCCCCATCGGGGACAGTAGTTTGCTTGTCTGTAATTGCTGTGCTCTTGTCCCCTGCCAGGGAAGGCTCTGTCATGCTGCAGATTGATGTGGACACGGAGAAGGGAGGCCTGACCGTGAACAAGAACTTCCTGGTGGACTTTGGAAAGGAACCCAACGGGCCTTGCCTTGCGCACGACATCCGCTTCCCTTGTGGGGATTCCACCTCCGACATCTTGGCCTAGGCGCCACGCGAACGACTCCCCGCTTCCCTCTCTTCTGTATTGCGGCCGTTAGAAACGAGCGTAGGGTAATTGGGTCTGGGGGTCTCCGCTCATCGCTGGAGTCTAGATTTCTGCTAACGTGAGCTACGGAAGCTCCGCCTTATTCCGAGGGTTTGGTTCAGGCAGACCAGTGGGCAAAGACACGCGGCAAGTTTTCATGTTGTTTTCAGTGCAAAGCAGCCCCTGGGTCCGATTCACAGAGCAGAGCCTGGGGCGGTTGCTCAGATCTAGAGGTGTGCAGTGCACACAGTGCCTTTTGGCAGAAGGGAAGTGCCCAGTTCGTCTGAGTTACCGTTCTTCAGCCAGGTCGTTCCTGGATAGTCTTCCCTGGCACGAGAGCGCTCTTGGCTCGTCTTCACAGGCTTGGGTCGGTCTACGTCATGGCTGAAGGAGAATGAAGTGCTTTATTTTGAAGAGAGGTGCCTGTTTCTTGACACTGGTTTGCTGTTGAATTCTGCTTTAAACAAGAATAAACCTGTTCTTTGCATCAGCTACATCTTCACGTGCCTTATTTCATTGAAGCCTTTCTATGTTTTTTTTCAGCAGTGGTTAACGATAGGTCAGGGTTTTAGAAATCCCTATAACAAAACCAGTGATTGGTCAGGAATGTCTGTTAGTCTTTCTGAAACACAAAGGTTGCAAAAATCTGCATGTAATGAGGATCCTTATACATTTTAGCTTTTCACATACTTACCTTGGAAGAAGACATCTTCACTTTCTTCCTTCACACTTTCCATGGCCAAAGATATTGCTACAGCTTCCTTGTGCACCCTTAATATTCCCAGGAGGAAAACGATCCCTTCTGGAGAACAGTTCCATAGCTTTGATGAGGGGTCCAAGAGGTCTGGGAGAAGTTGACCCCTGGGGGACCTCTTCTCGCTGGCTAGATAGGATGATGTTAGACGAGGTCTTGAGTTTCAGGAGGTGAGAGGTATCCCTGGGGTGCTGCTTGAGTGTGATACCTGGTCCTGACCCTCCAGATCTGCCTCGTTTGAGGGCCTTCTCAGGGGACATGCCTCCTCTTGAGGGGGCTTTGGAATGAACCATATCTCACTATCTTCAGACCCTGCAAAGCACCCTGGAAACCCCTCCTTGTGATGCACCAGCCACATGAACGCAGGGAAATGCTCCCTTACCTAATGGCCACATCTACGGGGTTGATCGGACAGTCTGCTGTCCCTCACGCCATCGACTGACCACCCTCTCTGACTTGCAGGTGGTCTCACAGCAAGGCGAGGACTCGGCTCCTGCTGCACCATCAGGCCACGCTCTGCCCGAGTCGGATGGATGCGGACGTGTTTCTGCTGGTAGGAGCAAACTCTTTCATCCCCCTCCCAGGTCCCTCGGTCCTGATTTCCATGTTTCAGGGAACGCTGGGCCTTTCCTCACCCTCGTGCGTGAGTTATCCTGAGGAACGTGGAACGCCGTGTATCTGCAGTGGCTGAACGTGCTTTGGCGGTGACTTGGGGTGGCTGAAGTTGATGGATGCCTCTTCTGTTCCCTCTAGTGGTTATTTGGAAGATCTGCTTCTCCCTGGTGCCAGCACCCGTGAAGTCCTTCGCAGCTTCCAACAGATCTCCTGGGACAGACACCGCTGGCATCACCCTTTTTCCCTGAGGGCGGTAACACTCTTATGGTGATCTTGCTGAATGGGAGCAGGGACATTTCTACAGCACAGATGAAGCTGTGCTGCTGCTTATACATGCCTTAACTTTTGCATTTAAGCCCTTGAGCCTCTTGGGGAAGCTTTCCTTGGTCAGAGGCAAGGTGGGACACAGGGGGATTTGCTGACCACGCGGTGTGGATCCGTAGCATGGTGTTGAGCATCGAGTCCAAACAAGAGCCCAAGCAGGTGAGTGTGGGAGGGATTGAGCCAGGGCCATCAGTCTTTTTGCTGGCAGGTGCAATGGGCTGAGAGCCTCTGATGGCAGAGATTGACTCTCAGCTTCTGGTTTCAGAGTCTACATCTGGAATGAGCACTGCAGAGGACAAGGCAGCAACCTGCCAGCAAAGATGTGTGGGTGAAGGCTGAGCATCCGCTGCACGGCCCTTCCAAGGCATGCTGGCTGACGCCCGGCTTTGCAGCCAGAAGCAGTAGCAGACACTGACTAAGTCAGATGTGTCATGGGGAGAACTGTTACATCACTTCTGCCCTCCTGCCAGCCAGCAAATTAACATCCCACAGTAAACACTCATCCTGCAATTCAAAGAAACCCAGTCCTCGCTTTTCATTTTCAGCGGTGATTAACATCTGCAACCTCATAAAATTATTTCTGCGGTTGGGAATGCAGTGCTTGCCCGTCTCTCATCAGGGCACCCCAGCAGCCCCATGGGGAGACTCAGAGCATCTCTTCTGGCAGGGAATCAGAGGAGAGGAGCCACCTGCTTTCCGTTCATGGCTAAAAGCCCTTGGTTTTCCAGTGTGCGAGAATGTGTGCGCTGTGCGGTGCAGCCACAGCCATGTCCCCTACCCCTCTGGGCAGGGAGGAAGCTCTGGCAGCACTGAAATAGCTTCCCCACACGTTTCCAGTGCTGTAAGACACTAAAGGCTGCCCTGGTACCTCCCACACCCCCAGGCCTGCGGATCCTCCCCTTGGTGTCCTTTTCACAAACCCTCCTCCTCCCCATCCCGCTCCCTCTATATTTGAACCCCAGCAGAGCTGCGGAGCTGCATCGTGTCCTTGACTTGCTCCTAGCAGGCAGAATGCAGGCAGGATCATCTCCTTCCGCTGCTCAGCAGCAGGTGGGATCCAACCCAGCCTCCAGCACAGGTAAGAGATCTCTCCGTTGACTGCAGCTTGCTCTCAAGAGAAGGCTTGGTGGCTTGCTGCCTTCTCACCATGGGCTCTGCTGCCTTCTGGCCGCAGGCTCTGCTAAACTCGTTTGGAGCTGGGTCTCATGGTTTCATTACTGTGACACCCAGAAAACATAAAGTAAAAAGAAACGTGGGGATGAACGTGGTGATTTCTCTGGCCAGGAAAGGGTTTCTTTTCTCAAGCTACTAAAAGTGCCAGGACACGTTTAGGCAGACTGATGATTAAAAACCTTCGAACTATTCTCTCATTTATTCATCTGCAACTTGTACAGGCTGTGCCTGCTATAGTCAGGTACACCGTGGCCCTGTCAGATACAGGGAGCCCTCAGTGTGAATCTGGCTTTGACGGGGCTGTTTTTGAGAAGTAATCTAAGGAGAAGTGAGAAGCAAGCTGGAGGGGTGGTTCCTCAGTGCTTCAGGTCTGAGCACTTCCCTGGAGGAGCAGGGACACAAGCAATAAAACAAGAATAAAAACAAGTAAGGAGCTGATGCAGCAAAGCCAAGTCGTACGATTTAGCTGGGGGTTCTCCTCCCTCTCCTCAGGCTTGCTGTCGTAAGTGGGGAAAAGGAGTCCTTTTGGTGGCGGTTGTTTCCTAACAAGCTCCCGTTCACCTGCATTAAGGACAATTTTCTCAGTGGTTGTAAAGAGGCCGAGGCTGGCAGGGTCCAAAGTGCCTGGAGAGCTGCAGCAGCGTGATGGGGATGGGGCCGGTGGGGAGGCTGATGCCTCGAGCGCTGAACATCCTGGGTGGAAACAGCTTTCCGTGCGAAAGCTTTGCTGTAATGCCCCCGAACCAAGGCAGAGCAAAGCGCAGCCATCCCAAAGAGGGTCAGGAGGAGCCGCAGAGCAGCGCCCGGGGCTCAGCTCATCCCCCTCCTCATCCTGCAGCGAGGGGATGCTCTCTCCCTGCTCGGCTCCCAGCAGAATCCTCTCCCCTCCCTCTGCCCCCGGCACCTGCGGAGGCTCCTGCGGTGCCACAGCCCGGCCATACTGCCTTTCTTCCTTGCTGCCTCCCCTCCTCCTCCTCCTCGCAGAAGAATCACAAGAGCTCTCCTCAAGGCCGTGGCAGCCTGGCATTGCCCCTACATGCTTTGGCCACCCTTCCTCTCCACTGCAGGGATGTGATGGGAGGCAAAGAGGAGAAACGCAGCTCTGAGCCTTGTACCTTCCTGCACTAGGAATGTATCACTGGTCCTTTTGGCTGCCCAGAGCCGCAAACCTTTCTGGGGGTCACTTGAATGCACGTGGGCATCCCAGTTTGCCTCGGACATTGCATTGGGAGTGCGCGCAGCCACTCCAACGAGTGGTTCCTTCGTAGAAAGGGGATTAAAAAAACCCACTGTCATCTAATTTCTGTTTGTTTCTGTTCTTCTCAACACAGAAAAGTGTGGAGCGTGTGGTCCTGGCTTCGCCTCGCCTCTGGATGCGATGAAAGGCAAGTCTGAAATGCAGGGCAGGCAGGGAAGAGCCCTGCCCTGTCTGTGATTTAGGTGTCAATTAAAACAATGCTTTCAAGAGGGCGTTATCAATTAACTCCATTCTCCGAGCAAGCGTTAGGAAAACTAATGATGGTTTTGCTTCTGGGCTGTCCTGAGGCCAAACATCAATTGCATAATGACAGCTTGGTGTCAGAACAAACGTTTTTAGATTTCACGATGGCTTGGGATGGGTCAAAGCCTGCAGCAAAATCACCTGTGGCTTCCTTGTGCAAAACCAAATGGGATTTCTAAGTTTCTTGGAGGCAATTGTATTGCCCATGACACCACATCCGGAGCTAAAGCTGGGGAGGGAGAGGGGACCATCCTGACTTTTCCACGGGCCCTCAGGACCATGGCCTTGCACTCTGCTCCTGATGGCTGGGGTCACAACGTGACTCCTTGTCTGAAAACCAGCCTCACGGGCTGCTTCCTTGCGTGTCTGGACACTTTGCCTGAGAATCCTTCTCGCTGCATTGCTGAAACACTGTGCTCTAATGTGAAGAGACCTACGAATGCATCATCTTCGGCTATCCCTCCCTTAATCCTCCTCTCTAGGGCTTAGCAAACACATCCTTGAAACCTTAGAGAGCTCTGGAGCTTGCTCATGATCTGTGATTCCTATCCCTGCCACGTCTTTGAACCAAGAAAACAACAATGAAAAGATGAGCCTTTAAAACATCCCCGCGTGTTGGCAGGGCTGTACCGTGATTTAAACTAACAGCAAATAGCACAAATCCTGCTGACTCTGCTACTCTGGGAAGTTCCCTTGGGAACTATCCGGTTGCTTCAGTGGTGCTGGGTAGCTCTGGCACCCAAAAGCTCTCCCGTGCAGACATCTGGCATGTTGGGCTCCCAAGCAGGTGGTGAGAGGCTCCTTGGTGTCCTCTGGATACCTCAGGAGGTGTAGGAGGACGGAGGGGAGCTCTGCGGCTGTGTCCCATGCCCTGGCTTTTGGTACTGCAGGATGGGATCCCTCGGCGTTTGGCAGCTTCTCTCAAACCTAAGACTGACACGGGCACCACTGTATAAAGGTTTATAAAGGCAGCGTGTTGCAAAGCCAATTATCTGCCTTGGATGGAACCCAAAGGTCCCAAATCACCTCTCTCTCCGTTTCCCACTGCTCTCTCTTCCTCAGCATTTCCTAAACCAGTTCTTCCCCTCTAGCCCTCGCTTTGGCAGTACTTTATCCTGACACAACCCAGAGCGAGTGCCGCCTCCGCAGTGACGAGGAGGAGCCGCCGTGGGGTCTGACTGCCCTTGCCTGAGGGCTGGGCAGCGCTCGGTCCCGAAGCAAAGCCACGTCCCAGCCAAGCTGATCGCGTTTGCTGTCGGGAGCGATGGCTGCACGGGGCAGCGGCTCCTGCTTGGGGAGCAGGGAGCGTGGCAGACCTGTCGCTGCCAGGACATCCTCGGGGCAGAGCCCTTCTCCCTTTCCCAGCAGGATGCCCTGCAGGCAGGGAGCTCTTGCACCACCGTCCCACAGTAGATTTTTGCTGCTCGGCAGGACTATTGGACTGCACAGGGGCTTGGGGGGCTTTCTGCCTTTGACTTCAGTCTGGCAAGCGCTTCTCGTGTATTTTTAAGGCTTCTCCTGTGTAGATGTGATAGAAACGAGACACGCTGTGGTTTGATCTGAGTGACTGATAGAACTGGGGTAGGGCTGGCACATCCTCGCAGGCATGGGGTGATCGATCCCAAAGGCATGGACTTCCTTAGGGACCCTGAGGTTCAGAGATCCCTTCCCAGGGCAAAGGATGTGAGTAAGCCCAAATCCCCACAGGGCAGCCCCCTCCAAGCTGAGTCCAGGGTACGGCAGAGATGGAGATCCGGCTGCCCCATACACATCGGGGAACACCCCAGCTCCTCGACAGGGAGATCCAGTCTGGCCAGAGACTCCTGCGTGGGTTTTATTCTGTCACATGTGGTTTCTGCTGATGCTCATGCAAAGTTTCTGTCTTGAAAGGTCCCCGGGAGGAGATTGTGTATGTGCCCTGCATCTACAGGAACACTGGGAGAAAGAAACCCGACTTTCTGGCCACCGTGGATGTCAACCCGAAATCTCCGCACTATTGCCAGGTACCAAACGCTTTATCTCGGTACTAAACTGGCCTGGGAAACAGCTCAGTGCTTCACGCTTCCCAAAGCTGCTGGCTCAGTACTGAAGGCTGATGCCTGTCCAGTTCTCCCCAAGACCCCGAACCTTCCTGTGCTCACAAATTTTAGGTAAAATCCACTTCCCACCCCATCCCTAGGATTCCCCCATGCACCCTGCGGCACCCTGACCCTACAGTGGGGTCTGCAATGCACTGAGCTCCGCGCTCTGCCTGCACTTGGCAGAGGAAAGACCAGTGTACGCAGGGCTGGGACTTTGCAGGTGATCCACCGCCTGCCCATGCCCAACCTGGGGGACGAGCTGCACCACTCGGGGTGGAACACCTGCAGCAGCTGCTTCGGGGATGCCACCAAGAAGCGGAACCGCCTGATCCTCCCCAGCTTAATCTCCTCCCGCATCTATGTGGTGGACGTGGGAACTGACCTGCGAGCTCCCCGGCTTTTCAAGGTACCTTGGAGGTGGTGCCGATACACGTTAAAGGTCTGGGATTGCGGCTTCCGGCTGCAGGAACAGCTTGGCAAAGAGGGATACATCTTTGGGGTACATCTAAGAGCTTAGCAGGACCCTGATGTCTGGATGACAGGACGGGAAGGCTGTGGAAGGTGGTTGTTCTCCTGCTGATGTGCAGATATGGAGTTCTCCATCTAGCTCGGTGCAGGAGGGGACCAGGGCACACCGGGTGCCAGGCACAGCACTGCCTGTCAGGTTTACAGTCCCGGTCTCGCCTGCGGCGTGTGTCTCCGAAGGAGCCCCAGGCACCTGCCTGCAGTTTGCCCCATGCCTGAGTGTGCGAGTGGCTCGCTGGTGGCCTCAGCCAGCTTCTCGGGGTGAGCGCAGCAGCTGCCCCGTGTGCCGGCATGCCTGGGGACGCAGGACCGTGCACGCTCTGCCCCTCTGGCTGCACGGCAAGTCCCGTCTTGAGGACAGGCAGGAGCTGCCCGGCTGCGCTACGGGGTAACACCAGGCTTGTGAACAGCACAGCAGCGAACACCCTTCTCGCCTGGGGTGGCCCGGCACGGAGGAGGTGACGGTGCCTGTGAACTCCCGACAGGTTGTCAACTCAGAGGATGTCTTCTGGAAGTGCAACCTGGGCTACCCCCACACCTCCCACTGCCTGGGCAGCGGTGAAATCATGATCAGCACCCTGGGAGACCCGGCTGGCAGCGGGAAAGGTACCCCAGTCCCCCCCAGTCTTCCAGGGAGAGCGTGCTGGGACAGGAGGAATGGTCCCCACATCCAGAGCTGTCCTGGAGGCTTCGTCCAGGTCTCCCATCCCATTCAGCAGCCTGGTCTGCAACAGGTTGATCTGTCTGTCGCTGCGTGGTTTAGAACACGTAAACTGTTTATCTGGATGGTTTCCTCACTACCGATGTGGTTTTGTTTCTGCATCAGGCGGCTTTATTCTGCTGGACGGAGAGACCTTTGAGATCAAGGGGAACTGGGAGAAAGGGGACAAGATCCCCCCAATGGGTTATGACTTCTGGTACCAGCCACGCCATAATGTCCTGATCAGCACTGAATGGGGAATCCCAAAATGCCTGGGATATGGCTTCGACCCAAATGATCTGAAGAAAGGTGAGAAAGCAGTTGTTTAACTACCCCAGGAGAGATGCTGAGCAGGACTGCAAGAAGGCCAAATTCCAACCCTCTTCTGTTGCTAGCGAGAGCTGGCATCTAATGGGCATAGATGAAACTGTCCAAGACAGTTTGCTTGCAAAACAAATTTCACACCAATTCCTAGAGATCACATGGATTTAAAAAAGACAAGCCCAGCCCGTTCACTGTGAATACGCTTTAGATCCGAGCACCAGAAGCTCAACCCAGACGGTCCATACATGCTGCTGTACGTGGGGTTGGATTTTGGCCGTAGGGATGAGGGATGAAGCCCCACCTCAGCCCAGCCCCCTCTCAAAGGTTATTCCGCCCTTCCCAGCCCCATCCTAGTGAGATGGTCCCTGTTGGACGCTGGGCACCTTCCTGTGGCTTTTGCCAAGGTCCAAAGCAACCTGTGCTGGTGCAGAGACCGTGGGGTTGTCCTTGTGGAGAGCCAAAGGGGCTGAGGTCTCCCCTGAAGCCGTAGCACCTCTCCTCGAGACCCCGCACCTCGCAGTATCCCCTCTAACCCTCCCTCCCAGGGCGCTACGGACGCCGCCTCAACGTGTGGGACTGGACCACTCACACCTACGTCCAGGCCATCGACGTGGGCGAGGATGCGGCCCCCCTGGAGATCCGCTTCCTCCACAACCCCGACGCTGCCGAGGGCTACGTGGGTTGCACCATCAGCAGCGCCATCCACCGCTTCTACAAGACCGAGGTACGTCCTCCCCCAGGGTTAGCGGAAAGGGGGTGCTGCCCCTTGGTTGAGCGAGTCGCACGCCTCTGCGCAGCATCCCTCTTCCCGCATGCCCTGCTGTCCTCCCAGCCTGACGCGGGTCCCTGCGGATGCACGCGCCGCCTCCCCGTGCTGTGCAGCCACCTCTCTGCACCCAGAACATGAGCTGGCCTGGGGTAATCTCACCAGAGGACTTGTTCTGACTGGTAGCAGTTTAGGCTGAAATTATTTAACTTAAAGGAGATTTATTATACCTTTGTGGTGGATTTACAACAGCCCAACCAATGTTCTTCTTGGCGTCTGTTGTTGTGCGTAATGACAAACTGGGTGAGGAGAGAGAACATCTTTCACCAAACCAGCTCATCTAGCTGGGAAATTAGACCAGGTTTTGGCCCCCAAAGCCCTTCCTCAGGTCCCAGAGCCTGTCTGCCCCATGGCTCCGCAGAGCCAGAGATGGCCGGCAAAGTAGCTGAGCTGCAGCCAGAGACAAGAGGCGGTGGACACGCACATATCCGCACCAGCATCAGGCCTTATCCTGCCTCTGCCGCGCATGCTGAGCCCCCTGGGGCCATGCTCTGTCCTGCACCTCCTGCAGAAAGGAGACTGGGCAGCCGAGAAGGTGATCCAAGTCCCCAGCAAGAAGGTGGAGGGATGGCTCCTCCCGGACATGCCAGGTCCGTGCATCCCCAAGCTGGGTGCTGAGCTGCTCCCTGGCTCCCCCGGGCACTGCCGGTGCTGCCGCCTGTTTGTGCAGCTCTGTCATACCCTCCCCAAGGCTTCATCACCGACATCCTCATCTCGCTGGACGACAGGTTCCTGTATTTCAGCAACCGTGAGACTCCCGCCAGTATGACATCTCCGACACCCGCAAGCCCAAGCTGGTGGGACAGGTGAGGCAGCGGCAGGCTCCCGGTCGCATCCCAACGCTTTTCCTCCATCTCTTGGGGACGGTCGGGATCAGCCCCTCCTCGCCATCTCAGCCACCCAGACCTTTGGTCTCTTGCAGGTCTTTGTGGGTGGCAGCATCACCAAGGGAGGACCCGTGATGGTGTGCAGGGATGAAGAGCTGCAGAGCCAGCCAGACCCGTTTTTCATCAAGGTGAGCTTGGCCGT